TTAGATAATACAAAAACAATGAAAAAAATTAAGTCCCAAACTAAACATTGACATAGTTGCTAAAACCATTATTTAAATGACAATTGCCCTCCATTCAGGTGCCCAGGGAGAGATGATACACACAAAAGGATTCATCATATGACGTGCCATTTTACCATGAAATTTATTAGCAGTAATTTAAAACATTACTTGAAGTAACTTTATACAATTGCAGTATGCTTTCTAATTTGATTTCCGCGAGGTTGTGATATGCTGGTAAAGGTAAACTAGCTTGAGGGTTAATGTACTCAAAAGAGAAGAGCAGGTTGTATTATTAGCTCTGCGTACCAGGGTTTTTGGTTTTCTTTTGTTTTTAAAATCAAGACTTTCTCTTATTGCATAACTCAGTGGGAGTATAGTTGCTTAGTAACCCTGCACTGACTGGGGGCTGTTGCTCTCGGACCCGGGAGGAACCTGCGTGTGAATAAGACAGCTGTCAGCAAGCCTACACTCAGAGGATTTACCCGGTGCAGAGAGCTCCAAGAGAACACAGCAGAACTCCAGAGCCCTTGGCATTCTGGCTCACTTGAATTTGTCCTCCTGCCTATGACATATTTTTTTCACACATACAACATTTGTTTGCAGCCTGGAAATATAAAACCATTCAAGAAACGGAGCCTAACTATTGGTAAGCAATTTCTAATCCACATTCAGTATCTCACAATGTGTGTGGTAGGCAACTAAGTGATTTATCTTGTTCTCCTACGTTGTTTGCTTCCTAAGTTGTGTGTCCTTCCTGCTGGATGGAATCCATCTGTTGTTCTGCTTACAGTGTACTATGAGCATTTGAAGTTCAGTGCTAATAGAGTGGAAACACTTAAAAAAATGTTTCTCTTTTTCTTGTTATCTTTTTGTCCAGCAATCCAGCAATTATCAGGTTAGAAATATCAAACAATAATTCCAAAAACTAAAAAACAATGGAGACCAACATTATTGTGGGCGTACTGTGGGTGAGGCACTATGTTTTACATGTATTGTCTGATTTGTGGTGCTAACATTCCACTGTTTTATGTGTGTGTTTGTGTGTGTGTATGTTGGGAGGAAGATCCTATTATTACCTCAATTTTACAGATTGGAACCTGTAGCTTAGAGATGTAAAGTCACCTTTGAGGACACACAGTGATTTGCAGAGCTAGGATTGAAGCCAGGCAATCTTAATCACGATGCCATACTATATTGCTAAAATCACTTTAAATTACTTAGTTCAGTGAAAGGTGAGTTGTTTATAGCATACGTTGTTAATGCCTGCCATATAACGCTCCAGTATTAAAATCCAAATAACTCAACTGGTCTCTTGGATGCTCAGAATAAAAGATCCTCTGCCAGTTGTCCATCTCCAAAAAAAAAAAAAAATGTGGTTCAGCAAGAAGGTTAAGAACAGTATCACTTTGGAATAACACAATATCATTTTATGGCAGAATTCTGGGTCATCGGAATTTTCCCTGGATCATTAATAAAGCACTGCTTGTCCAGACAGCCCATGTTTATTGGTCCCTCTGAGGGAGAAATGAAAAAAGAAGGGGAAAGGTCGTAGAGATGTGTGGAAGAGGACCTTAGGGAAAGAGATCCATCAGGGCTTCTCTCTGTCCTGGTGGAAATGAGCTCCGGCTCCTTTTTTGTTCTGCTCCAAGTTATTTGGCATCTTTTTCTTCTGTCTCTTATTTCTATTAAGCTCCCTCAGGGCAGAAATGATAGTCACAACAGCCAATTAGGGAGACACTGAAGGAAGAAGGTGCTCCACAGCCGCTTCATTGTCCGCAGAGAAACAATCACTTCAGTGGGAAAGTGGTTTTAATTGCCCCTATTCCTTTTTTTTCCTCTCCTTCCTCTCCATCAATACCCTCTCAATCAAGCTCCTTGGCCTAAAGCTAGTGAGTTACCATGGAACCAGAAAAGCACTAATAAGCTAGCATTCAGGTGGTCTGAATTATTGTACAGGCAAAAACTCAAGTATTCTTCTGGGATTTGCTAGCCCTCGTTTCTAAGCCCCATATGTACAGCAGTGTTTCCAAGGTGAGCACCTTGGACCACCTGCATCAAGGTCACCTGGGAGCTTGTTAAAAAGGCAGATTCCTGGGCAAGGCCCCAGACTTGTGGAATCAGAATCTCTGAGGGTGACACTGGGAAGTCAGTATTTTTAACAAGCTGTCCTGGTAGTTCTGGAATACATCATAGTCTGAATACATCATAGTTTGAAAACTACTGCCCTGCAACTTGCAAAGTGCTTTTACATACATCACTAGACTCAAATGTCAAATTCTTCAGAGGCTTATTTTCTTATTCCCCTTTTTGTGTTGCTGTTATTTTCCTCTGTAATCAGTCTAACATCTCAAAATCAGTAGGTCCTCTGTTAAGACTGAATAAGCCAGAGTCAATTTCTCTGCCAAAGATGACAATAAAAAGAAAATAAAATAACCATTGAAAGCCATTCAGGACAGGAAGTCAGATGACTCCTAGTGGGGGACCCAGCATGGAAGAACTTAGCCTTAACACACTCTTTGCATAATTTCTGGAGCGAGACTGAGTTCAAACCCTACTTTGTCACTTTGCCTCAGCTTCCTCATCTGTAAAACAAGGGTAATAAAGTACTTACCTTATAGGGTTGTTGTTAGGGTTAAATGAATTAATACAGGTAAAGTGCATAGAACGACACCTAGCTCAATACTAACAGCTGGTTAACTAAGATGGCCAGAACAGCAGGTTGAAAAGCTGCAATTCAACATGAGTCACTGAGATATAGTTTATAAAACTTAGGTATCATTGCTATGTTTCATTGTCTTCAGTAAAGACATAAGAACAAATATTAATAGACTGAATATTAAGAAATGTCATAGCATGCCTTTTGTCAGGATTTTTCAACTTTAGCACTGTTGACACTTTGGGCCTGATAATTCCTTGTGGAGCAGCTGTCCTGTGCAATGTAGATTTTTAAAGTTTTTTATCAGCATTCCTGGCCTCTACTAGTAGCATTCCACTATTTGAGATGACCAAAAATGTCTCCAGACATTGCCAAATATCCTCGGGAGGGTGGTAGTGCAAAATCACTATTTGAGAATTATTTTATATCTGACAGTGTAAAATTTCGGACGTGTCCACAAATATTATTTGGCCTCATCTTCTTATACTGCCCACCCATGGAAGAAAGGACAAATATTGTATCATTGCTGCTAGTTTATACATTAGATGATAATGAGATTAAGTGGCTTACCAAGGTTACCTACATCGTTCTCAGGCTGGTTATGTGCCACGTTTAGTTTTTCATTGATGGATGTACTCTACATCTATGTTTACAGCATGCTGAAATGCTGATGTACGAAGCTAAAATCTTGTGATGTGTGATGATTTTTTTGGACTGAACCAAGTGGCTTTTTGATTAGACAAAGCATGAATTACATAGGACTTAAGAGTTGGCATTGGGCCCTTCTTCTTGCCAAAAGTCGGTACAACGTTGACAAAGTGCTGGTTGTACTGCATCCGCCGCTTAGTCTGGCCTGTCTTCTTCTTCTCCTGTTTGGCCACCCTAGGAGTCTGACCTCTCACTTTCCCAGCACGGGCCAGGGACTTTACTCCCAAGCATATAGCCTGCTACTTCTAGGGTGGTCAGGACCTCCAATCTGCACTGGCCCAGGGTGGCCTCATCCTCCGGGGGCATGCCTACCAGGAGCACTACTTGATTTTCCAGGGCAATGCCCTCCAGTGAGGATACACGAGCCTTGATCTGGGCAACCATCTCCTGGCCAGTCACCTCAAGGGTGTGTAGCTCCTGGGTGCAGACAAAGAGCTGCATGCTGGCAACTGAACTGCGGTCCCATCTGCTGCTACCATGAAGATGGAGTCAAGAAAGCATGTGTGATGATTTTTTAATGGTTTACTTTGGCAAAAGTAACTATGCAAATATTAAATTTCAAGTTAATTTAAAGTTTTATACTTTGCAGGTAGCCTTCTGTGGTAGTCTGTTTTTGCTTTGCTATAAATGCCAGAGGCTGGATAACTTAGAAATAAAAGAGGTTTAATTGGCTCATCGTTCTTCAGGCTGTACAAGAAGCATAGTGTTAGCATCTGCTTCTGGTGAGGGCCCCAGGGAGCTAAGGGGGAGCTGACGTTATCATATGGCAAGAGAGAGCACGGTGGTGGAGGAGGGCTTCAATTTTTAAACAACCAGATCTCAGGTGAACCCACTGAGCAAGAACTCACTTGTCATCAAGCGGATAGTGGTAAGCCATTCATGATGGATTCATCCCCATGATCCAAACACCCCTCACCAGGCCCCGTCCAACATTGGGAATCACATTCCAACATGACATTTGAAAGGACACATCAAACCACAGCAACTTCTTTCTAGAAACAGTTCAATACGGAGACCGTGTACGTGTAGCCCCATTCCTACACACTCTCTTACGCTTTCGTTGGACACTCACTGAACAGCTGCCATGTAGGGGTTATTGTACTACCCACTACAAAGTATAGGCCTATTAAGATGGAGTACCATTCCTTACAGAGCTCAAATGCTACTTGAGGATCAGGCACACACAAGCATACATGATAACGGATGTGGGGATGGGAGGCTGTGGATTGGGAGTTGAGGGACATAAATGCAGTGATAGGAGATGCAGACAAAATGAAGAATTTAAACAAATTGACTTTCTCAGACAGGGGAGGGGAGGCTTTTTCAGGTAAGACTTCCCACAGAAAATAATGCTTAGGTTTAGTCTTGTAGGATATGTAGAAGTTAAAAATATTAACTATTTCCTATGTGCCGTGCACTGCTCTGCATATTTTACATGTTAATTCATTTAAGGCCAACAACCTTGTGAGATAGCCACTACCATCTTTTTACTGGACAAGAGAAAACTGAGGCACAAAGAGATTAAGTAATTTGCCTAAGGTCACACCACTAACAAAGACCCAGAGCCACAGTGGGTGGCAGTTTTGCTCCAAACTCTGTGATTCTGATTTTCAGGCAAGGTAAAGGAGGTAGGTAAAGTGTGCAGAGATAAAATACCTCTGAACTGAGGACACCCCAGAAGTCTACATTGGATTGAATATTCTATGTATTTTTTGTTTTTCGAGACAGAGTCTTGCTCTGTCACCCAGGCTGGAGTGCCGTGGCCTGATCTCTGCTCCCTGCAACCTCTGCCTACCAGGTTAAACAATTCTCCTGCTTCGGGCCTCCTGAGTAGCTGGGATTACAGGCATGTGCCACTACGCCCAGCTAATTTTTTTGTATTTTTGGTAGAGATGGGGTTTCACTATGTTGGACTGGGCGGTCTTGAACTCCTGACCTTGTGATCTGCCCACCTCAGCCTCCCAAAGTGCTGTGATTATAGGCCTGAGCCACCGCGCCCAGCCTGGATGTAATATTCTTTGTGAGCAGAGAAGTGGCAGGATGTTAGGCTATGTAGCCAAGGAGGAACCCACCATGAAGGGGGTCTGAGGTCCCCCTGGGAATGAACTTTACTCTGTGGACAGTGGGGAGCCACTGAAAGGAGAGGGGCCTCATCAGACTGTTTTAATAAAGTCAATCTGGCCTAGGCGAAGCGGAAAGATTAGCAAAAAAAGAGACTCTGGTTTCGTATAAAACTAAAATCGCCAATATTTACTGCCACATTTTCTTCCCAAGATACTAAGAAAAAACCCAAACCTTAAATAGCAGAAAAGATACAGCTGCTCTGGCCTATATACAGAATCCTTTACTACTATCTTCTGCATGATATACATCTGTGTTTACTCAAGTCCCATATTTAATTGGATTTAAATAAGAATCTGAGCACAGTCACCCAGAAGGCCTGACATAAATAGAAGAGTATCAAGGGGTCGGAGAAGATAAATCCTGTCTGCTTCTATAGAAAGCAGATTCAAGGATTCCCCACCTGCGTCTTCTTCCCGCTCCTGGTAAAGGGCTGCTCCTGATGTCACGAAGCAACAAATGTGCATTTGGAGAGTCCACATCCAACCACTCCCGCTCCTTTCCTCCTCTCAAGAAGCCAACCACATGCTATGGTTTCGATTTATTTCTCTTGTTTATCAAGCATGATAAAAATGCTTTGTTCTACTTTTGGCTCTCACAAAGAGCCTGTTTCATCATCAACATAGCTGTAAAGCTGAAATATGGTTGGGACTTTTGCCATGACTTTGCAGGTTTAGGTTGGCAGGCACACTTGCAGAGCTTAAGTCTGTTTTCTACTTACAGTTGCCTGCCTGATTTTCGAGGAAGCTCTTAGTAGGTGAGAAGTGGCCCAGGTATTGTGGCCTCATGATCTGATCATAAAGGTTTCATATACTCAGGGTTAACTAGGTCTTCTCTTAATCATGACAGTATATAATGCTTTGAAAAAACACAAAAATAATTAAAATATTAGCCTCTAATTCTGCCTTATAAAATAAGACTACTGTGGCCGGGCGCGGTGGCTCAAGCCTGTAATCCCAGCACTTTGGGAGGCCGAGGCAGGTGGATCACGATGTCCAGAGATCGAGACCATCCTGGTCAACATGGTGAAACCCCATCTCTACTAAAAATACAAAAAATCAGCTGGGCATGGTGGCGTGTGCCTGTAATCCCAGCTACTCAGGAGGCTGAGGCAAGAGAATTGCCTGAACCCAGGAGGCGGAGGTTGCGGTGAGCCGAGATCGCGCCATTGCACTCCAGCCTGGGTAACATGAGTGAAACTCCGCCTCAAAAAAAAAAAAAAAGTAATAAGACTACTGTAATCATTGCTAAAGTAGTGAAATTGAACTGTATATAGCAACAGTATTTTTCCTTAATACTACCATTCCAGAACGTAGTATTAAGAAAAATGGAATTGTCCTCTGAGAACTAAACTATAAACTACATCATTGTTCAGGTGACAGACATGCAAAATCACCCTAAGAAACACAGGACTCATGGCTGAGCAAGACGAGACACATTTGATTGAGGATATTCATATATCTAAAGGCTTAATGAGTTAATTAGCCTGTGGATGGTGGAGCATAAACCTAGCTGAGTCACTGTGCCAAATACTGGCTGTGGCCATTAGAGACTGTCTTTTCAGACTCCTCCAAATATTTACTTGTAGAGAAGGAGGCACCCAGTTACCACAACCTGATCCCCCTAAACATTTTGAATCATGCAATTAACTCCTCTCTGCTCTGTTTCCATGTCTACCCAGCAACTTTCTGATGACCATTTGGCTTTCTGTGTCATTTACCCGTGGGAAGAATACAAGAGTTTGGCTGCCTTGGTTGTTATTGTTTCTCAGTGAAAATTAACGGCTGCTACACTGTGTTAGAGACCTGAGCCTCCTAGGGCTTAGTCAGCATCAATTGGCACCCACTAATTGTCAGGTTTTGATAAGATGGGATGTCTCGATGTGGCAGGTTGTCGGCGGGAAGATAAGCGATTCAAATGGTGGCTTTTTGTGCAACCAGCAGTTTTCTATGGCCACACCCTGACAGCCACACAAGGCTTTGTTGTCACCCTACATAGATTTCCCACCCTCCGGGCTTCAATTCCATTCCATGATCTGCCCATCTAAGCAGTCAGAGAATCCTAGGAACTCGCGTTTATTGCCACTCCTCATACTTTGTTTTTAGGATTTGCATCCTTATTTGTCTTTCCAGAACAGCAGTTCCCAAAAGCCAGTGTGGGAACCATCTGCATCAGAGTGGCCAGCCTGTGAAGATCAAGGATAGGAATGCCAGGGCCCCACTCTAGATGTCCTTTATCTGGGTTGGTACCCAGGAATCTATTTAATAAGCTCCCTGGGTAATTCTGATAAAGAGCCACATTCCAGAATCCCTGGCTAGATAAGTGGTTCTCAAAATTGGCAACATGAGCCGGGCGCGGTGGCTCAAGCCTGTAATCCCAGCACTTTGGGAGGCCGAGGCGGGTGGATCACGAGGTCAAGAGATCGAGACCATCCTGGTCAACAAGGTGAAACCCCGTCTCTACTA